AGCCAGCTGAGAAACCGGAGTTTTTTTGCAGGAAGCAAAGAAGTTTTTGCACTCAAGTCTTGTGTGAACGTTTGGAATATCTGCGTTAGTGTTTAGAGACTCTTTGTCTTTGAAATATTCCTTGGCAACTTTATCTAGTGTTCTTGGCAGCCTTGCACCACCTTGACAAGGCTTGTTCTTACCAGAGACAATTAGTTTGAAACAGCCATTTAACCGGGAAGGAACGGAATTCGTAAAGAATCATTAAAAGGTTTTGCTGTTACCTCCGTCTGGTGTTTGTTTCATTGGAATAAGGTTTGGGTCAGAACAAAGATGCTACCATGTCACCGTTAGTCCTTCTTTTCATTAAACTAGACATATCCAATTCTTGCAACCGTTCCTCATATGTTTTAATCCCCTAATCATCCCTGTTGTTCTTCTCTGCATTCTTTCTAGAGTCTCAACATCTTTTCTGTATCAGGCTGACCAAAACCTGGACTGTTTTCAGTTTTCTGCATTTAATTTCAAAGGATGGCCTCAAGTTTTAATATTTTAAAGGATGGCAAAAAAAAAAAAAAAAAACCCAAACCCCTCTTGGCATTATTATCTTGGCATTTCTAATGATTCCAAGGGAGACATTTATATTCTTTTTCAATTTTATAAAAGCACCTAAATAGTATATTAGGTAAGAGGCCTTTTTGAGGGAGATGGGAGGATTCAGAAACGTGAATAAATAAATATCAGAGTTTTTTTTTAATAAAACACCTTATAGATATGTTCCCAATCTTTTCATTTAAACATCCATATTCTTCCAGAATTGGAAGTATTATGTATGTCAAAATGCTGCATTCCAGGTGATAGAGGCTAAGGAAAGGTGATGTCTATACACAGTGTTCCTGGACCATAATTTAAAGAACAATACTTTTAAAAAGTTTTTTTCCTTTTTTAAAGAATTTTGTTGAAAATAGAGCATGCTGTTTTTCTAAGAATTATCTCGCTGCTTCTTCTTCTTCTTCTTCTTCTTCTTCTTCTTCTTCTTCTTCTTCT